GAAGAGCAACTGTGGGTAGTGAAACGTATTATAGCTTCTAATTGGTGCTTCTTTTTTTTCTGATTGATAGAAATTTTTACTTTGAGTTTTTATTTCCTAAGAGAAATTCTTTAACTTTTCCTTAAACAGGACAAGATAGATGACAATATTTATTTACATAGTTAAGAGTATATCCATTTTGGTGGAACGTGATGGAATTTATTACACATTTTAGCTGCTCCTGAAGTCATTATTCACTGACCCTGTTCTGAGCTGACTGAACCCTGGCCCGGCCAGATGGCTTGATACAGATCTGCCAAGGCATTTCTCAAGAGCTGCAAAATACTAGGGTTGACTGTCATCCACAAGGACCTCCTGTGAGTCACCTTCCAAGATACCTGAGCACATGAGCATGCAGGGTGTCCTATTATGTTCGCCAGCCAGGAGCACCAGTTCATGCTAGCTTCTTCTAAGTCTGAGGATCAGTTGTAGTGTTTTTAACATTTTCCGGCATTTTTTTTTTATGATGTGAGAAAGGTGAGGCCTGACCTTTTGTTGTAATTGCAGTGGGGTTGAAGATGTTAAAGAAAGAATATTATAGAAACCCAGCGCCAACACTTACTTTTGATGTGGCCCTCGGTGAGATACTTAACTTCTTGGTGCCTTGGTTTCCTCATCTGTAAAATGGGGATAATACTGATTCACAGGGTTGCAAAGGCTGAGCTAGATAATGAACACCAGCACTTAACACAGTGCTGGGAACATGAGCTCTCAGTTAACGGCTGAAAGTATTATGATTTGGATTTAGATATGATTCAGTCTCTTGTTGGATTAGAGATGTGATTGGAAAGTATAACTTTTGAGGAGGCAGACCTGTGGGTCACTCTTCTGTATGTGAATTGGGAATTAAAATAACTATTTAAATGATAAATGTAGGTATCGAGTCATATTGTAAACTACTTTCCAGATAAACCAAGTAACTTAAATGTTCTTGCAGTTTGGGTTTTGATTTTGCAAAATATGTGAGAAATAACCCTTCATTGGAGGGAGGGAGGGAGGGAGGGAGGGAGGAAGGAAGGAAGGAAGGAAGGAAGGAGCTGGGTAATAGAGAAGAGGAAGGAAGCTGATTTTTAAAATACTGTTTTTACTTAAGGATTTTTCAAGGGAGATTTTTTAAAAGAGCTCCTTTAATCATTGCCAGTATAATTTTTAAGGGGAACATTTTTTAAAAATTAATTTAATATTTCCCCATCACCATTTATCCCCCCTATGCCCTCTCCCACCTCCCTTCTCATGACTGTATTAATCACGTGTCATGAACCAGTGGCAGCCTGTGTTCAGAAACAGCTTTCAGAAAAGTCTTGGGACTGTGTCCATCAAGCCCCACTTGTTTGTCCTTGTTCCAGAGGAAATACGAAGTTCCACTTCCAGAGGTATTTAATATTCGGCCAAAAACCACATTATAGGAGTTAGCGTTAGACCTACAAATTCAGTTGATTCCTTCTAGCAGGCCACTTAATACGGGAAATGCAGTTATGAAGCTGAGGGAAAAAACATTAAGACCAAGAAGGAAGATAATCACAATATCACTGAAGGCCATGTTGGCAGTCATTTTCAATAAACAAGGCAGCAGTCACTTACCGATTATATCCTGTATCCTCACTCTCTGATTTGGAGCCAAGAAATGGACAGTGATGAGAGAGGGGGCGTATGTGGAAGGAAGGAGGAACTGCAGGGGGCTCTGTGTGATGGGGCTGGTTCCTTAGACTGGAGGGACAGGATACTGACGTCAGAGCCACTTCTGAATGTTTTCATTTTCAGAAAGAAACTTTAGAACTGAGCAATAAAGAAAGAAAAAATTCTTTTCAGAGACATAAATGACATGGAAGTTAATTTCAGAAGTATTGGAGAAGTAACATGAAGTGTTTCAAAGATATATAAGTGAAAGTGGGGTCATCACAGGCTGACTGCCTGTTTCTGGGGGTTTGCTCTCTCTGACTTGCTATAGAAAATGCTATCTTGAGTTTTTGCTATAAAGACAGACATGTTATTTAATTTTTACTTTAATCCCCACTGAACAATGCATGTTTCTAACTCCTTCAAATGACCTATTATTGAAAGCATCCCTCTGCAAGAGGAAACCGAATGACCACACTTGTGTTTTCACAGATACACACAGCCCTCTTAAGGCGCATTTAACACAAGCCCAGGAGAGGCCTTTAGAATAGGATTGTCCTTGAATTATCTCCCCGGGCTGAGTAAAGCGGAAAGTTACTAGCAAATGTCACAGGCACGATTAAACAGCTGCGACCCAGGATAGGAAAACACTGAGCATACAGTCCCACCCGCTCAGTCTGAACCCTGTGGACTCTGATTCCCTGGCACTGGCACCCCTTCGCCAAGCAGAAGGGCTTCTCAGCCTCCAGGGCGCCTCTACATCAGCCTGTCGCTCACGGATCGCATCCGTGCGTCAACGCTTCCTCCCCTGGGGGGATTCTGCGTGCCGCTCTGGAGCGTGTCCGTCCTGCCATTTCCCAGCCCCCCGGTTCTAATCGTCAGGTTTCTTTCACGATGGGGTCCCCAAGAGTGCTCCAGGGAGAGAGAACTTAAGACTGTGACTCTCTTGTCTGCACACGGACCATGGATTCTCTTTCTCTCGCTGGGATAATGCTTTTGAAAGCCATCCGGCCCAGTCCAAATCATAAAGCCCTTGAATTTGCCTGCGTGCACGAAGCTTAGCTGACATCCATTGTATCCTTTGGAAGGTCATTTCCTACCATTCTCATGAGACTTTTCTAGCAATTTTTAGGGTCCTCCAGGATGGCCCCTTGGATCAGTCAGCTTGCACAGGAACAGCTTAGCTGCGTCCAGTCTGTACTCTCAACCTGAGTCGTGTCTAAGCCCCCCAGGCAATACATTTGTCTCACGGGTTAGGAGGAAACCCAGTCGTCAGGAGTTCTGAGATGGAATACCCACCGATACACCAGTGAACGGGTGAACCACCTCTTCTGCCTGGGCCCTCTGTCCATTCTATTGATGAGTGTTCCTAACACTCCATATCACTAAGGCCCCCCCGTAATCAAAGGGGTATTTGCCATGTACCAGGTTTGGAAAAGTGAAATGCCTACATCGGTGAAAGTGCTGAGGGATTTCCTGTTCCCTGCATGATCTCAAAGGTCCCTGCAGCTCTAACTGGTATGACGTCTGTGCTTCCAGTTGAGGAGAAAATGGCAGAAATAGGCTGCAGAGATGAATCGACATCTGCTAATAACTGCGCCATGTGCAGAGTGAATGGATACGGCTGATTCAGTAACTATGTTGAACTCTTACATGAGCCACTTCTGGATTAGGTCCTGCCGTAGAACCGTGCCGACCCTCATGGGGCCTTCATTCCAGCGGCCTGATCTGGGAGACCAGCGCTCCCAGGACCACGTGACGCTCAGCCCTCGCTGCTACTTTCTGGGGGCTCCGTGCCCTTTAAGCATTCTGGGGACGCTGCCTGAGAAGCACATTGATCAGACTGCTACCTTCATAAATAAACCCAAATTGGCTCTCGTTTTCTATCACCCCATTGGGTGTCTGCCCCTTAGACTATTTTGTTCTCTGCTTGATTCTTTATTCCAGCACCGTGTTCATTTCTAATCAGACTGGAAATGGAGTATGCATTGGGGACTGTCTGAAACGGGAGCCTAATTATTTATCATGTTGTCTTCCCTCCTTTCCTTTTTAGACTCCACCACCTACATAGATTTTTGGATGCGTTTATCACATATGCCCTACTTGGCTCTCTTTACAAAAACCCTAGAAAAAAACACTCACTCTTCTACCTTCATTTTCCCAATACTTTCCTCTTAGTCTTTCCAAGTGGCCATGAAAATAAATCAATTATACTTTAAACAGCTATTTACTGAGCTCTTACTGCGTACTGAGCAGGGGGCAAAGCTTTTGACCTGCCTGACCTTGTCTGATTTTTTGGAAACTATTTGGGGCAGGCGACATTAGCATCCACTTTTATAGCCCTAAGAAGTTAATGGAGAGGTCCCAGATTACATGGTTTGTACAAAACATTTTTCAAAGAATACCTCCAGGGAACTCTGATGTTTGGTATGTGCATTACAAAATTTCAAAACCTGGTCTCCTTATCATGAGTTTGAGTGGTTTGCATTAACATGAGGAATATCACACTGGGTCAGAACCAGGGTTTGCTCTGGCCTTTATTGTGCCTTGGGCCATTGCTATGTTTTCCCAGAAGAAGAGTATTTCCTTATGTGGTCTCTCAAAAGTTAGGAATGTGGTCCCTCTATCAAGTGAGTTAGGCACTTCTTTCTCTGTGGCCCATCCGGACCGTATTTATACAGGCACAGCACTTAGCATGTATATTATAGAATATTTGTATACATATTTATCATCCATCCAACATGTGAGCTCCATGCAGTCCTGGGCCACGCCCTTCATCTCTGAAGCCCGGTGCTGGGCGCACATTGGCATACAGTGAATGTTCATGGAATACACAACATTTTTAAATTTCCTAAATATCCTAGTTATAAACTAATATAACATTAGTTAGAGAAACTTATTATATATTCATGAACTCACTGAAATTATTTTTTTTAATATTTATTGATTTTTTACAGAGAGAAAGGGAGAGGGATAGAGAGTTAGAAACATTGATGAGAGAGAAACACCAATTAGCTGCCTCCTGCACATCTCCCACTGGGGATGTGCCCGTAACCAAGGTACATGCCCTTGACTGGAATCGAACCTGGGACCTTTCATTTCGCAGGCTGATGCTCTATCCACTGAGCAAAACCGGTCAGGGTGCACTGAAATTATTTTTAAAGCTTGTTTCCAACTTGGACCACCTCTTAACAAGTAGCCTATGTTAACTGTCTGTTGGGTAAAATATTTATTGTAAAAATATTTCCTTCCAATTCCCTAGAGGTTTAACATAATGATAACATTTAAAAGCAGCACCTTCCCTTCATCATATTGTTTTTTAATGATTCTTTCTTGTTTTTCAGGAAGGTGATGTCTGGCCCAACTCATCAGCTGAAATCACTGTGTACTTCAACCCTCTGGAAGCCAGGCTCTACCAGATGACTGTGTACTGTGAAATTTCAGGTGAAGACTTCTTCTGTGTGGAAAAGGCAGGCTAGCAAGTGCCCAGAGCCTTAGTGGGATGAGTGTGTGTGTGTGTGTGTGTGTGTGTGTGTGGTGTGTGTGTGTGTGTGTGTGTGTGTGTGTGAGAGAGAGAGAGAGAGAGGGGGGGGGAAAGAGAGAGAGAGAGGGAGGGAGAAAGAGAGAGAGAAAGGGGGGAGGGGCTATGGGCTGTGCATGACTTACTCACTTCTTTCTAGAATAGACCAATCTCTGACATTATACTGGAATTGTGGTGTGGTGGGGGGTGGGATGGAAAACCATGGATCTGATTTTTAGAGCAGTAAGAACATTCCTTTAGACAGATTCTCACAAATTATTTTTTGTTGTTTCTGTAGTATTTAATGAGATAGAAGCAAATACGTATAGATTTACGTCCCCTCACATCTTTTTGCATAACGTATAGCATACTTTACGTGATGGTTCTGACATTGCTTTTAAAATATTTCTTAAAGATTATTCTATAACATTAAATATAAAAGTATCATTTTTTTCATGGTTGCATATGAATACTTTTTATTTACATACCACAATTTAACTTTTAATCTTTTGTGACTAAGAAATAGAACATAGATTCATAACTGTATACAGTACATGCTGTGGTGGGCAGAGTGATGGCCTCCCAAATATGTCCATGCTCCCAGCACCTGCGGATATGGTACTGTGGTTGTATTACATTATATGGCAAAGGGGAATTAAGGCAGGCAATGGGATTTAGGCTACTAATGAGCTGACCTTAAGGTAGGAGATTATTTGTGTGGGTGGCTCAGTATAATCACAAGGGTCCTTAAACATCGAAGAGGAGGCAGAAGTTGTCAGTCTCAGTGTCAGAGTGATGTGATATGAAAAAGAGTCTTCCCGCCATTTCTGGCTTTGAAGATGGAAAGGGCAAGGAATTCAGACAGCCTGTAGAACCTGGAAAAGGCAAGAAAAGGGGCTTTCCTCTAAACTAGAACCAGCAGAAGGGAGCCCTGTCAATACCTTGATTTTAGCGCAGTGCGACCCATCTTGGACTTTTGACCTTCAGAACTTTAAAAAAAATGTTTCCATGATAGTTGACATGCAATATTATATTAGTTTCAGGCGTATAACACAGTGATTAGACATGACCTCCAGAACTTTTAAGATGAATTTGTATGTTAAGCTACAAAATTTGTGGTAATTTGTTGTCGAGCAATAGGGAATTAATACACACATATAAATTATAACATAATTATAAGGTAAACATTACATAATCACCACCAAGATCAATAATAAAATATTTCCAGCTTCGAGAAGACCCCCTGGGTGTTCCTTCCCAGTCACACTCCTCTCACGCCAACCTCCCCTTGAGATAATCACTATTTTGTCCTTGATGATCATGATTTCATTGCTTTTATTTATAGTTTTTACCCCTATGTATATACTTCTGAAACAATGCAATTTAGTACTGCGTGTATTTGAAATGTGCATCATCGACATCAATATGCACATCTCATCCATGGCGTTGCTTGTAGCTCTAATTGTATTTCATTGTCATTGTTGCATAGCGTGCCATTATGCGAGTGCACGTTCGGAGACAGGAAGTAGCAGGGAAGGTCATCACTGAACTGGAGGGAGGCCTCTCGGGATGCATGAAATTTAGTCCATAATCCCCAACTGCAACCTTCTTTCTTTCTAAAACTTTTATATCTAAGCTCAATGAGTACAAAGATGTATTAAAGCATAGTTCCTACCTTCAGATAACATGGACATGAGCAGGGGAAACTGACACACAGACCAACAGTTATATGGCAATGCCCTACAGTGAATGAATGAACAATGGAAGAGGATGGTATAGGACACACAGCTCAGTCTTAGACTCCCCAGAGAAAGTGACCCTAAAAGTATTTGTTAGCCAAGAAAATAAAGGGTGTCTATGGATATGGATGGGAATGTCAGGCAGGGATATACTTTGTGAAAATACATAGAGAAACAGTGAAAATACATAACAAGAGCACAAAATGGCAAAGAATCATAAGTTCTTAGGGTGTGGCTGCCAGAGAGAGACACACACACACACAGAGACAGAGAGAGACAGAGAGACTTGGGAGGGGGTGGTGGGGGCAGGGATTGAAGCTGGAGTAGTAGGTGGGATCTAGTTCATGGAAGGCTGCCCTTGGATGCCAGGCTCAGAACCTTGGACTTCATCCTGGGTGCAGTGGGGAGCCACTGAGGGGCTGGAAAGCAGGGGAGTGACCTGCTACGATCTGATTATGGCAAGTTTAACACCATTAACATATTTTCAGTTCATCTGAAACTGAAATTTTTTCATGTAAAGATTTCAGATTTTCTTAGAAGTGGTTAAACCTGTTAGATATTTATAAAGACTTGCCGTGGTTTGATCCAGGTCTTGAAACTGATCTTTCATCTGTCTTGACTTTCCAATGGAATGTGGAAATTCTGAGTTTAATCACAAAGATTACCTTTTTAAAAACTCAAAGGGAAACAGCATGTATTTGGTTTGGATCACCATATGGGAACCTCAAAGGAAGCAACACTTTCTGATTTTAAACTGTGAAATGTATTGTTAGAAAACGTTAATGGGTGCTTCAGAGAAATGGTTCCAGATGTACCTGCTTCCTTTAAAGACCCAATTAAGATGAAACCTCATTGTCCATTTTTATTCTGTACATCATAAGAGAGAAATATCTAAGTTTTTGGCACAATTTAAGACTTCTGATTTTTATTCTAATTAAACTAAGGAATTGAGATTTAATTTGATTTAGGAAACAAAAAGTCAAATCACCCCAATCATTAAAAACACTTTTGGGTCCTCAGAGTAATAAGTGAATAATATTTGATGTATATATAGCTTTTCTTTCTCAAAACTCATCAGATTGCAACCTCTTAATAATGTAAGGTTTCTTAGTCAAATGAATAAGAAATTATTTTCTTGATCAACTAAATTATATTTTCGGTTTTAAAATATTTCAAACATAAAAATACAGGGAATAATATATAAATATCTATGATTATAGAACCCATATTTAAGAAAACTTGAACAAAGAGAAATGTATGCCCATGTTTTTGGTCAAGAAGAGCAACATCATAACTAGGATGATTCCAAAGTTTTTATAGAGGAAATAAATAAATAAACTAGGGTTGCCTAGAAAATTCAGAAAAACAAGAATAATGTGGGAAGACTAGCTCCACCATGTGTTAAGAGTTATTTAAAAAACTACAACCATAAAAAAAAGAACAAAAGAAACAAAAAAAAAGGAAAAAGAAGAACGCACACATGTATACAGATGGCATGTGGATGCCCAGTTGTTTTAGCTCTTTATACTGTATAGTCCATCTTTCCTCACTGATATTCAATGCCTGCTCTGTCCTAAATCAAGTTTATATTTATATGTGCATTTATTCTTCGTTCTGTATTCTGTTTCCTTAGTCATCTTTGCATTTTCTGCCCCAATACTACATTATCTTAATTATAATAGCTCTATAATAGATTTCAATTTATGAATGGCCAAGTTCCCTCAATTTGCTCTTCTTTAAGAATGTCTTGGTTTGAGACCAGGCAGCTTCTCTTCTCAGGTGGGTGGTGGCCTTTGGCAAGTCCCTGAGACTTTCTGAACTTCAGTTTTCTCCACTATCAAAGGAGGGGGTACATGAGAAACAGTCTCAACTCTAACAACACATGCGGGAATTAAACAATTCACCGTGCGACTACTGCTTGGGGAGAAACTAAGATGGTGGCATAGATAAACACCGGGAAATTTCTGCTTCCCACAACAATCGATAAATGCATCAAAAACACAAGGTGGACATCATCCAGAGCTACAGGAGGGCTGGCTGAGTGTAAATTCTACAACTAGAAGGAGAGAAAAGCACACTGCGAGCGGGAGGAGCTGCGGAGGTGGCGTGCAGAGGTACGGGGGCTCGCGCGCGGAAAGGGTCTGGCACCTGAGGACGCGGCTGTCTTTTTGAATCCGGAGGGAGACACAAGCTCCCGACGGCTCTGAAATCCGGTTCCGGGAAGTCTCTGGGGACCCAGGGCTCATACGGGGAAATACTGGACTGTCTGGCAGCGGGCGAGCTTGAGAGCAGCTTTCCCTCAGAGGTGCTTGCAGCCGTTGCCGGGACACTGGGACTCGCAACTCCTTAGGGCAGGGCTGAGGCTCCGCCATAGCTGCTTTCTCAGCCCTTTGATTCCTTGAGACCCCGCCCCACCCAGGCTGCGGCAGAGGCTTTTGCATATGAATGCCCCGGCCATTTGCAACCTGTAATTACCTAACCGCAGCCGGGCCAGATAGACTCAGAGCTTCCAAGACAAGGCCCAGGCCCCACAGCGGCTTGCATTGCTACACAGCTGAGCATCATCAGGGCAGCTGATTCTCGCTGCCAATTGCCCTGGAGGTCAATTCCTCCCAGTGATCCTACAACAACCAAGGCATAGCTACAACAAGACTGTGCACAAAGCCCACGAGGGGGTGCACCAAGAGTGTCCACCTCAGGTAACTGGGGAGGCTGAGCTACTGGGCCCTACAGGACACCTAGCACACAAAGCCACTCTATCAACACAGGGAAGCAACCAAAATGCGGAGACAAAGAAACAGGTCACAAATGGCAGAAATGGAGGAAAGCAAACGATTGGATATAGAGTTTAAGGCCACGGTTATAAGGTTTTTCAAGAATTTTATGGAAACCGCCGATAAATTTAATGAATCCCTCAATAAGTATAGGGAGACCATGGAGGACATGAAAAAGGACCAACTAGAAATTAAGCATACACTGACTGAAATAAAGAATAATTTACAGAGATCCAGCAGCAGAAAAGAGGATCCCAAGAATCAAGTCAAAGATTTGAAATACAAAGAAACAAAAAATACCCAACCGAAAAAGAAAAAAGAAAAGAGATTCCAAAAATATGAAGATAGTGTAAGGAACCTCTGGGACAACTTCAAGCGTACCAACATCAGAATTATAGGGGTACCAGAAGGAGAGAGAGGGCAAGATATTGAAAACCTTTTTGAAGAAATAATGACAGAAAACTTCCCCTACCTGGTGAAAGAAATGGACTTACAAGTCCAGGAAGCGCAGAGAACCCCAAACAAAAGGAATCCAAGGAGGACCACACCAAGACACATCATCATTAAAATGCCAAGAGCAAAAGATAAAGAGAGAATCTTAAAAGCAGCAAGAGAAAGACAGTCAGTTACCTACAAGGGAGTACCCATACGACTGTCAGCTGATTTCTCAACAGAAACCATGCAGGCCAGAAGAGAGTGGCAAGAAATATTCAAAGTGATGAATAGCAAGAACCTGCAACCAAGATTACTTTATCCAGCAAAGCTATCATTCAGAATAGAAGGTCAGATAAAGAGCTTCACGGATAAGAAAAAGCTAAAGGAGTTCATCACCACCAAACCAGCATTATATGAAATGCTGAAAGGTATTCTTTAAGAAGAGGAAGAAGAAAAAGGAACTCTTACCATTTGCCACAGCATGGATGGAACTTGAGAGCGGATAAATACCACAGGATCTCACTCATTTGTGGAATATAATGAACAACATAAGCTGATGAACAAGGACTGATCCAGAGACGGAGAGGCATTGATTGGACTGTCGGGACTTGGAGGGAAGGTAGGGGAGAGTGGGGGTAAGGGGGAAAGATCAACCAAAGGACTTATATGCAAGCATATAGGCCTAACCAATGGACATGGACAACGGGGGGGTGAGGGCATGAGCGGGGGTGGGGGGCGTGGGGGGTAGAGGGTAACGTGGGGACAAGGACACATATGTAATATCTTAATCAATAAAAATATATTAAAAAAAAAAAAAAAAAGAATGTCTTGGTTTTTATTGGCCCTTTGTTTTCCATTTAATTTTGTAATCAACCCATCAAATTCTACCTGCTGGCATTTTGTTTATTAAAGCATTAAGATTGTAGATATAGATCAATTGGAGAAAATTTGACAACTTTATGATGTTGAGTCAGTTTTCCTTTTCAATAACATAGCCTAGTCCTCCATTTATTTAGATCCTTAGCAATATCTTTCATTAAAGTTTTATATTTTGCTCATTGAAGATCTTATGTCTTGTTAGATTTATTTCTCGGTACTTTATATTTTTGTTGCTGTGGTCAATAGTATCTTGAGAATTAATTTTTCTGATTGTTGCTGGGTATGGAAATGCAGTTGACTTTTGTATGTTGATTTGGTAACCGTCAATTTTACTCTAATTAATTTTAAAAGATTATTTCTAGATTCTTTAGGATTTTCCAGGCAGACAGTCCTAAAACATGTGAATAATGGCAGTTTGTTCTTCCTGTTTATATCCCCCTTTTTTCTTGTCTTATTGCACAGGAATAGAGCTCAAGTATAATATTGGACATCTAAGATACCTTAGATGGCAAGTTCTTGAAAGCCCATGGTTACATTTCCTGGTACTTAATGCAATGAATCTATTGCATTCAGGAATTTCAGAACTGTTAAAGGGGTTCAGTAGTACATTTCTCTACTTATGTGTGAAAACAAGGTAATGTAATCATAGGTGAGAAACTGCCCTATTTTAACATTTTGCTCTTCTTATAAGGAATTTGTCCTTTTATATTACTAGTTCCTTCAGGCGTGTCCCTCTCGCTGCTTTTTGCCAAGACAAGAAAAGTCCCTGCTTCAAAGATCTTTTGGAAAAGTAGCATTTGAAATGTAACCCTAAAATTTAGGCTAATTCTTATAAATCAAGGCTGGGTATTACTCATATTCCCACTCCACCTGGGGTGAGGGAAAGGGCTAGCTACAAATAAGACAAATTTCTTTGAAGTAATTAATAACTCCCAAAGAAACATTGGCTCACTGCTTTATTACAACACATCTCCTTTTTAAAAATGTATGTATTAAGGAAGGCAGTCAAGGTAACAGATGGGGAAAGCTTCAAGCCTGACAGTTATAAATAGTCTTGCAGTTTATTCCACAATATATTTTCAATCCCCTTTCTTTGCCATTCTGAAAGTTGGATCTCTGTCAAAATATTTTTCTCTTGACCAAGGAGTACAAATCATTGCCAATAGATTAAAATACTAAAATAATGGAGTAGGGCTCTCTGAAAATTTTACTTACACTGCCAACAGTAATATACCGGGTCTTTAGAGAAACCTCTTTTCCAGGGATCAGGTGGATTGGGGAACCCTTTGAAGAAATCAGCTGTTCCAGAATTGCTTTTGTTTCTTATAATCAAAGTAATACTTGCCTAATGGCCACTGCATTGCCAAACACTAGAGGGACACAGAGATAAGTATTCTTGTCTTTAAAAGGACAGTCATGGAGAGAAAGCATTAAAGAGATACAGAAGCTAAATAGCAACAGAAGGCAGTGGAACATCAAATGTCACAAGGCATTATAATGATGATAATAAATTAGAAATATCGTTTGGTTGTTCGAAGTGTATTGTTGCAACACTGACAATTACATCTAAAAGAGCATCAAAAGTATTTTGAATATTCAAAACATTACACACAAAGCAAATATAATTTTCCTTACATAACTGGCATTTAAGTGGTGCAGATTTAAGGAAAACCTGTCAAACCATCAAAGATTTTTTTAAATGATGATATACCCATTGCCAGGGAGGATGTGGAGAGCCGGGAACCATTAAATACTGTTGTTCGTGTGTAAATTAGGACAGTCATTCTGGAGGGCAGTAAACCCATAGCTGTCAGCATGTCAAATGCCCGTCTCTTTGTCCTGACAATTCTGTGTCCAGTAGTGGTGGGCTCAGTAATTTGGATCAACAACTCTCTCTAAGAACAGCTAGAAGAGCAAGGTGAAGCATTTTCTAAAACAAGTTTTAAAGGTAAAACAGAGCTGCTAGGACAGTGAAGAATTATGGGGCCAACATCCAGGAGAAGAAACCAAGAGTTAGATTTTGAGGGGAGGAAAGACTCTTTATTCTTAGCAACACTGACTTTCTGGTAGATCAGCAGAGGCTGAAAAGTTCAGCTGAGTTAGGGAAGAACATGAAGGAGTTAACGGGAGGCCCCAGGAGAAAGGGCCCCAGTGATCCCCCAGGCCTCAGCGTGGGACCCCCATCTACATGAACAGTATTTAAATATGAGTAAGTGTGGAAGGATGGGCACCAGAGCCTAATAATAATTATCTTTGGGTGGTGGGATTATGACAGAATTTCTACTTTTTTGATAATATTTTTATAATGATCATGTATTTCAAGTGGGGATTTTTCCATTTTTTTAAAAGAAAACAGAACAAATTAGTACTTTAAAGGTTTGTGTTCTGTGTTGACCCTGGGTCCATAATGAATGTGTAATAAGGGATACTGCTTAGTGGACTCCATTACCTATCTATGAAAGAAACTGCAAAGTAAGGTCGGATTCCTCAAACACTGGCTCTTCCTAAATCTAGGGAAGATCAACGTGGATAATGTCCCTTGGAGCCGCATGGTGACTCACTTTATGGGGAGCCTCAATCAGGGATCATTCTTATTTAGAGAAATTACTTTCCTTTTTAAGAAACTTAAGGATAACCCTGGCTTTTGTGGTTTCAGTTGGTTGGAACATCATCTGGTACACTGATAGGTCACAGGTTCGATTCCCATCCAGGGCACATACCCAGGTTGCCAGTTTGATCTCCGGTCAGGGCGCATACAGGAGGCAACCGATCCATGTTTCTCATATCAATATTTCTCGCTCCCTCTCCTCTTCTCTAAAAAAAATCAGCAAAAACATATCCTTAGGTGAGGATTTTTAAAAACAAGAAACAACAAAAAAGAAATTAAGGATACAGTTAAGATTGGGTTAAATTTTTTCATTGTTTTTTTTTCTCCTGCTAAAATGTTCATCTAAATTGCAATACAAGCTGGCCCCTAAAGGTAAGAAACTAACAGTATTCCTGTTTGTAAAAAATAAACTAAATCTTCAGCCTTGGTTAAATTGCAGGTCCCCCAGTCCAGTGTAGGGGGTGGGTGCAATCATCTTGGGTGCTCACATTGGTAATGAGTTGTGGATAATAAAGCATCATTTGGGTAATAAAGTTTTAATTGTTTATATAGGTCGAGAGATCCGTCTGCCCCTCCGAATCAAAGGGCAAGGAATGGGACCAAAGATTCACTTCAACTTTGAATTGCTGGATATTGGAAAAGTTTTTGTTGGATCTGTACATTGTTATGAGGTAAACACTAGAATTGTTCATTGAGAGTCAAATAGGACTTGGCTCGCTTTGTTTTGTCCGTGTCAATAGAAAATTTGCACAGTCACATCCACTTGCCATTACTCATACTTATTCAGACCCCAGAACAATCTCGTTCTCCTCTTTCCTAGCCTTGTTGAGCGGAACAACTTTTTTCATTCTCTTCCCACCCCCTCTCACTTGACTAAACACATCAAAGCCACAACTTAATTGGCTTTATCCTCATCATTTTGTAGATTATAAAGAGGAACTCCATAAATATATCTCCCCATCTGTTTAATGCTTGTTCTCTGACAACACAAATCCTACAGATCAGAGGATAGAGAACCTTCTACATTTTCCAGAATGTCCTAATGAGGATCACTGTTTTCACACCTCAGACGTTTCTCTAGATACAGCCTCCAATCCATGATTTAGCAACCAATCATTGGGTTTTCTGGAAGAGACCTCCCTGCTTTGTCTTTCCAAATAAATAGAAAATGATACTTTTTTTTTTAAGATGTACTCATGGGTTCATAAGGATCAAAGTTAACTCAATGCCACCTCATCGTAAATTTTTATCTAGGACACATTTTTACAGTATCAAACTATAACCATTGGAACTTTATTTTAGAAAGATTCCAAATTGTAAATGTTTGTATTTCTATAGAGGTAAAAACAAAAGCAGTTATTATTTCATGAGTGCTTGAGGTTTAATTAGTGTGTCAGGTTCCATGCGTTATTATGTGTGCATGTCAACATATAAGGGTATCATTTCTAGTCCTTACAAAGCCATGAAAGGTAGGTTTTATTGTACCTATTTTACAAAGAAGAAATAGGCAGATGGTGGTGAATTCTATCTACAACATCACTCTTCATGCGTGTTGAGCACACATGCATCATTTGTTCATTTAGTCCTCACAAACCCTCTATGGAGTAGCTACTGTGACTATACCCATTTTATAGACGAGGAAACTGAGGCCCAGAGTTTTACTTGTTAAGGTAATTAATGTTAGATACTATAACAAGCAAATATAAAAATAGATATTCTCTCAAAATAGATAAGAGTCTATGCTGTTGCTTCTATAAAGTCCCACACAAGGTTGCCAATCAGGAGGTGACTATCCTCCATCAGAGAATGAAGAGTCCAGCCTCCCTCCCTCTCGTGGCTCTGCAGTCTCATAGGCATCACACTGGCAGGAGAAAGCACATGTAGGGTTTCACATGAGGGGTTTTTACAAGAGGTAGCACTGGAGACTGGAGGCACGTATCACTTTTGTTCATGTCCAGTTAGCTGGCCATAGCTGCAAGGGTGGCTGGGAGATGTAGTTTGGCTGTAAACACCAGAAGAAGAGGATATGGGCTCCATGAACAGCAAACCTGACTGCCACATTTGTTAAGTAACTGGCAAGGTCAGTGTTCGTAATCAGTGGGTTTTAGGGCCCTGTGCCCTGTGGGAAGAGAAGGCCTGCTGGCTTTTCTGCCTCCACCTCTCACCAGATGCGAATCCAGCCAAGAGCCTGCTTAGCTCTCAGCCCAGCCTAACCTCGCATGGGAGGGAAATGCCTGGCTGCCGTTGAGAGCTTTCTATAGCGTCATTCGTCCCCATGATTCACTAGAGTAATTGTGGCCTAAATGCGATGATGTGCAAGGTAAACAGAGATGTTAATGTCATGATGAGATGGAGTACACATAAGAGCCCAATTTAAATAAAGAAATCCATCACAGGACTGTCATAAAATGAGAAGTGGCACAGCTACTTACATTGCATTGTCCTGTATTGCATTTTGAAAAAAAATGGTCACTTAGGGATGAAAATTAAAAGGCGCAATAGTTCTTACTAAATCGATATTCTGTTTGTAATTTATCCAGTGTGAATTTCCCTTACATCTTATAGCCTGTGTCTTACAGATGCCACATCGGAAAAGAACCTTTAGTTCTGATGCAAAATGCATAGGGTTTCCCTGAAGGTAATGATAATTTCTTGCAGATTTAACACAAAGGTACCGTAGGCCACCACTTCTCACCCTCCCAGGTTTGAGCAGTAATGCATACCGCAGCCAGGTAAATACGTGTTAAATGAGGCGCAGCATCCGATTGGGCAGTTTTGAGAGCTGTGCCCTGGCAGGGAAGGGCATGGTAAGGTGCTTCTCATGAGAATATTTTGCGCACTCTGCATATTTAATGCTGATGCCTCGTTGCATCTCTCTTTCAATTGATTACGTTACCTCCCCGAGACACATTTGAATAACTATCTATTGCCCTTAGTCATTGCTGAGCTTAGCAGATCCATAAAGAATAAGCCAGAACCCCAAGAGTACACACTCTTCCCAGTGTGATTAGAAGGAAAACAAATGGAAGGGGAAGTTCTCTTACACATTTTCTCTGCTCTGAGGAGTTGCACCCCATGGGTAAGAGCGTCACCAGTAATTAAAAGGTCTCAGGTTGGTGGCCCAAACAGTCCGGTGGATTCTGTACACATAAGTAGGTGCTGCTTTGTCAGGGGGAGAGAATAACACGCACATTCTTGAAAACGGGGGAGCTGGCACCTTATAAAATATTGGTGTTAACCAAAAAATAAAAAGACAATTCGTGCCTCTTCTCAGAGAGAAGAACAAGGGTCCTTCGAGGTACCACTAACCCCTTTGAGTTACCACGGGGGCATGTCAGTTTCTTCTTCCGCACAGGTACACTTCACACCCATTCTGGTTAGCACAGGGCAATGGATAGGAGTCACTGTCATTGAAGCCTTCCTTGCCAGGCACTATTCTAAGGTCACATAAATTAACAAACGTCATCTTCGCAGCAATCTGAGAAGTTAGTATTGTTTACATTTTACGGATGGGGAAGCTGGGACTCGGAGAAGCAGAGCATGCTACCCAGGGCCACACAGCTAGTCAGTCAGTGGCAGAGCTGAGATTTGAACCCAGAGATTTGGCTTCTGAGTCCCTGGTCATGATCACTTTTCTACATGGTCTCTTTCAAAAAGGAATGAAGGGTGAAGCATGATTCCTATGACCAGGGAACTTGAAACAGAGAGAGGGAGATGGAACACAAATGTAGAAAGATGAATAACATACCAAGTAGCAAGTAGTTGCATGTCTGTTGTGTTACGCTGCCTGTCTGCTCTTGGCAGAGTGGCTGTCTTCCTCTGCAAGAGCCCCCTTACGCTGTCCTAGCTCTTGGTTCCTTCTTCTCTGCTTCTCCTGAAGCAGACTGAGCTGGTGGGCCCCATACCCACCGGACCCCGTTCTCTTGGTTAGCCGGCCCTCTTCCTCTATTACAACAACAAACACGGAGGCCGGGCACCGAGTATGTATATCTCATTTATTATAAATGCTAGAGGCCCGATGCACAAAATTTATGCAAGGGGTGCGCGGCTTCGCCTGTAAGGTCCTCTGGAAGGTCGTTCGGCTGTCTGGTCTAATTCGCATATTACGCTTTTATTATTATAGAGACTAGGTCTCCTCTACCATACCTTCTCACAGCTTTGCCACCTCCATTCTCACTTTTCACCACTAATCTTCTCTAAACAGAACCCAGAATAGTCAACCACTATTTCATGTGCACCCACTCACCCCCCCTCAAACATTGGGACTCTGGATTCTGCAATCATATTCCACTGGCATCCTCTCTTCGTTGAGGACAGTGATGACCTCTAAGTAAAAATACAAAATCTGTTACATTTCCTCAGAGCTTATTCTCCTGAACGTCCATCAACCCTTTCTGGAAATTCTCCTCCCTTGGCTTCTAGCTTCCTGGCATGGAATGTAGGTTCCACATACCTTTCTGAATGGTCTTCAGGATGCTCTGTGCTCTTTTCCCTTCAGTGGCTTCAGTGTAGGTTGAGGGCCGTTCCTACATACACTGAGAGAATGTGTTGTTCACACGTTCAGGTGTAAGCATTGGCAAGGAAGAGATTGTATCTTGGAAGCTCAGGAATAGAAGTGTGTGGCCACAGCACAGGTTCATGGACAGGAATTGTGGGAGGGAGCAGGAGTGGTAGACTGAGCCAGCTGAGGAGGACTCTGATTGTCAAGCATGAGATTTTGATACATACCTAGGGTGCATTCAAATATGGGTAATGACCTGGTTCCAGAACACTCGTCTATAGAAAACGTTCCTGTAGTAAAACGATGGCTTGCATAGGTATACCCAGTGGAGTTTGAGATGAAAATATCATCACAATAGGGTGAAATATAATACCCCAAGGAAGAGAATCCTTGCAATCTGGAATCCACAATGAGGTCATATTTATATTTATCAAGCTACATTATAAACATAGGCTTAGGTAGTTCTTGCGCCCCTATTCTGACTTGCTTTTTATTTTCCTGTATGCCACTTCCTCTCAGTCTCCTCGTGCGTATGAAAGAAAAACCTATCTTCCCTTGGTTACTTTATAGGGAGTACCCAAAAATAGTATTTTAAGGCTCTTGAGTAGATGCGATTGTGATCAGTGTTTCTAGCATGAGTATTAGACATATGACCAACTCTATTTTAAAGATGAGACGAAAACACAAAATTCCTGGTTTGGGACTCTTATTTTCAAACATTCAAGAGAGAAGACTGTTCATTTCTCCCCGGGAGTTTACCCGTGGTTCTAATTCACACCACTGTCTCTGTGTTGGTATTAAATAATACAGCCGCATGCTTACGTGAAGTAAATCCGAGGCCCGTTGTCTGCCTTGTCATTCTTGCTTTTTTTATCGGTGTAGGCAATACTCTCCAACAAAGGCAGCATCGACGCCCTCTTCAACGTGATCTCCCCGACTTCAGCTTTGGGGGCCTGCTTTGTTTTCAGCCCCAAGGAAGGCATCATCAAGCCAAGCGGGGTCCAGGCTGTCCAGATTTCCTTCTGCTCGTCCATTCTGGGGCACTTCGAAGAAAAGTTCCTGGTCAGTGTCAATGGGTCACCTGAGCCCGTGAAACTGACTATTAGGTAAGATCTATCTGTAATTACTGTGGTAGCTAGCTGAAGTTTTTACCTACTGCCTTCTTAAACTTCGTAACTAGATCATCTTAGACATCAATAACTGTCTTTGTGATATGAATACATCAACGGAATGGGGTATTTTAAATTTCCACCCATGTTTCCCTACTAAACATGTGTAGCTTAGGATTGCAACACGGATACAGATGCTGCTTTGTTATCCAGCTAGTTTTTTTCTTCCATACGCTATAACCTTATAAAACAAGGACTGAATCCATTATTAAATAGTTTCTGGTTACTCTCTCTCTGTTTTAGGTTGTTTAGGGAAAAATCATCTCTTTAGTATCACAGTTTCACTAAGTCTTCGTCTTCTGTTTTTGTTTTAAGGACATTCTTTAAATGCTCTCATCTATAATGCCTGCAGGTAGTAAAAGAGCCTATACACAGTGTCTGTCAGTCAAGGCTAGACATTTGCAGCTTTTGTGCCAGAAGTCTACTGATGGCTTCTCCAGCTGCTTGTGATAATTGAAAGTCATTAATAGCAGAGTTTGTCCTTGGGCTTTAAAAAGAAGTTCTCTGTGACCAACCCATTGGGAAGATCTATAACTTGGGTTCCCGGTACTTAGAAAGATAATATTTTCAGAACACATTGCAGATTCCATTTGGATTCCCAGTGTAATAGGTTGTTAATCACCATGGCGGTCTCTCTCCTTATGGTTACTGCTAGCAGGACCTCCCTCCACCTATGGCTGAGGTCTCCCTCGGGGTCTGAAGATAACATAGAAAAGAGACAGACACATATGGCCTGAAGGATCATAAGGGGAACTTATTGATTGTAGGATATCTACTAGAAATATAGAATCTCAGGATCAGCTCAAAAGTCATTGCCATTACTTCTTAGGTCACTTTTCCACCTAAGTATCCCTGTTATTGGGTGAATTGCATCCTCCCAAAATTCATATGTTGAAGTCCTCCCACCCAGTACCTCAGAATGTGACTGCACTAGATAATATCCATTTAATACAAAGGAAGACAATAATGGAGAAATAGAGGAACGAAAAAAGACATTAAAACATATAGAGCAGTGGTTCTCAACCTTGGCTGCACATTAGATTCATCTGGGAATCTTTTTAAAATCCTGATTTCTGGGCCTCATCCTCCGGAAATTCTGTTTCTTTGTTATGGGGTGGGGCCACAACATTAGTAGCAAAGAAACAGAATTGCCGGAGGATGGGGCCCAGAAATCAGGATTTTAAAAAGATTCCCAGGTGATTCTAATGTGCAGCCAAGGTTGAGAACCACTGATATAGAGAATAAATAGTAAAATGGAAGACACAAATCATTATCAGTGATTACATTAAATGCAAATATATTAAATACCTCAATTAAAATGTAGAGATTAACAGGGTGGATTTAAAAACACACACACACACACAAAAAGACATGACCCAACTGTATGCTATCTATAAGAGACATATTTTAGAGCTGAAAGTATGAATAGATTAAAACTAAAAGGATGGGAAAAGATAGACCATGCAAACAGTAACAAACAAAACAAGACAAAAATAAACACACCTGGAATTTCTATACTAATAGCAGGCAAAAATAGTCTTTAAAACAAAAATTGTTACTTGAGACAAAATAGGACATTTTACAAAAATAAAAGTAAATTCATCAAGAAGATATAACAATTATAAATGTAAGTGCACCTAACAGCAGAGCCCCAGGGTACATGAAGCATAAGCTGACAGAAATAAAGGGAGAAATAGGTAATTCAACAATAATAGTTGGAAATGTCAGTACCTCACTTTGAATAATTGATAGAACAACTGGGCAGGAGACCATAAAGGAAATAAGAGTCGAACAATATATCCTAGTAAACCAACTAGAGCTAACAGACACGTACAGAACACTCCACCCAGCAAGTGCACTTGGGACATTTTCCAGGATAGACAGTATGTTAAGCCATCAAACAAGTCTCGATACATTTTAAGTGATTTAAGTCATACAAATGTGTTTTCAACCACAAAGAAATGAAATTAAAAATTAAAAATAGAAGGAAATGTAGAGAATTCACCAATATGTGAAAATGAAACATCACCAATGGGTCAAAGAAGAAATCACAACAGAAATTTTAAAATATTTTGAGATAAATGTAAACAAAACAGAAGATGTTAAAACTTTTGAGATGTAGTGAAAGTCGTGTTGATAAGAAATTGATAGCTGTTAAATGCTTATATTTAAAAAGAAGAAATATTTTAAATCAATAATATAAATATCTGCCTTAAAAACTTGAAAAAGAAGAGGCAAATAAATTCAAAACAAGTACAAGGAAGGAAATAATAAAGATTAGAATGAAAATTAATGAGCAAAACAATAGAGAAAATTAATGAAAGTGAAAGTTGGTTTTTTGAAAAGATCAACAAATTGATAAACTTTAATGAAACTGACTAAGAAAAAAATGAAGAAAAGCCTCAAAGTACTAAAATCAGAAGTTAAAGAAGGGGCATTATTACCAACCTTACAGAAATGAAAATAATTATTAGGGAATTTTATGAACAGTTGTATGCCAACAAATTAAAGAATCTGGATGAAATTGGCATGTTCCTAGAAGGACACAAAGTATCAAAACTAATTCAAAATAAATAGAAAATATGAATAAACCTATAATAGTTTAGGGAGATTGAAATAGAACCACTTCCACCCCCACTGCACCCTGACACACACACACACACACACACACACACACACACACACACACACAACCCAGGAACAGATGGCTTTACAGGAGAATTCTACTGAGTGTTTAATGAAGAATTAACATCAATTCTCCACAAATTATTGCTTCACCCCAAAATAGAAGAGGTGTGAACACTTTCCAACTCATTTTTCTGAGGCCAGTATTACCCTATACCCAAATCAGAGAAAAGTATCACAAGAAACTGAAGACTTTTATAAATATAGATACAAAAATTAACAAAACACTAGCAAACCAAATCAAAGCAGCAACGTATAGAAAGGATTATACACAATGACCAAGTAGAATCTATCACAGGAATGCAAATTTGGCTCAACATAGGGAAATTATTGTTATACAACATATTAGTAGAATAAAGGCCCTAAACCAGCCGTGGGCAAACTACGGCCCGCGGGCCGGATCCGGCCCGTTCGGCTGTTCTATCCGGCCTGTGGAGCCGAAAGAGCAGAGGGTTCTCTTGCTCTCCCCTCCGCTCCTTCACCAGCAGCAGTGTTAACATGGCAACGTCGGGAAACACGGCCGCAGCTCCTTCTTCTGAGTCCAGTTTAAGAATCCATTGTGGCCCTCGAGTCAAAAAGTTTGCCCACCCCTGCGGCCTAAACCATATGATCATCCCAATAAACATAGAAAAAGCACTCACCGAAACTAAGCACACTTTCATGATTTAAAAAGATAGACAAAAACAACGAACCTCAACAAACCAGGGATAGCAAGGAACTCCCTCCACATGGTAAGGAATACCTGTGAAAGACTCACATTTAGCTTTATGCTTCATGGTGAGAGACAGACTGCTTTCTCACTAAGGTCAGTGAGAGGTCAGCAAGGAGGTCTGCATTGCCACTTCTATTCGACATTGTACTAGAGTTACTGTCCCAGGCAAGTAGATGAGAAAAAGAAATAAAAAGCATTCAGATTAGAAAGGAAAAGTAAAACTGTCTCTGTTTGCAGATGATGTGATGTTGTATGTAAAGAATCTTAAGGAATACACACACACACACACACACACACACACACACTCATAAAGAACTAATAAATGAGTTCAGAAAAACTGCAAGGTATAGGATCAACATACAAAAATCAATTGTGCCTGACCTAGTTTGGCTCAGTGGATAGAGCATCGGCCTGCGGACTGAAGGGTCCCAGGTTCGATTCCAGTCAGGGGCACGTGCCTGGGTTGTGGGCTCAATCCCCCATGTGGGAGATGCAGGAGGCAGCCTATCAGTGATTCTCTCTCATCATTGATGTTTCTATCTCTCTCTCTCTCTCTCTCCCTTCCTCTCTGAAATCAATAAAATATATTTTTTAAAAGTCAATTGTATTTCTAGGCAATAATAATGAAAATTCAGAAATTAAGTTATGAAAATTCCATTTATAATAGGTTCAAAAACAATAAAATACATTTAACCAAAAAAGTGCAAGATTTGTACATTGAAAACTACAAAACAAGACCTAAATAAATGAAAAGACATCTATGTTCATGGGTTGGGTGACTTCATATGGCAATACCTCCCCAAATGATATGTAGATTCAAGATGATCCCTATCAAATATCCCAGCTGCCTTTGTTGCATTAATTGGCAAGCTGATCCTTAAAATCATATAGAAATACAAGAGACCCAGAATAGCTAAAAACAATTTTGAAAAAATAAGAACAAAGTTGAAGGGCTTTTGCTGTTCTATTGATTCTTCAACTACATGATACAGTTTTTTAAGTAGCTGGATAAACAACGCTGCAAAATTAATGTGATTTTAAAAAATTACTCATGCACAGTATTCTTCAAATATTTATATATGTAATTTTATAAAGTTTTAACCATAGCACAGATATATTTTGTCTTCAAAATATTTAACTTAACATGTCATAGTAATTCAATCACTCTAACTCTTAGTTTTTATAATTTTACCAGACCACTGCAGTGATGGAGGGCACAGTCTTGGCAGAGGCTGTCCTAATATTCAGAATCCCTGTTAGAATGAATGTGACCATATCTAAGTCCAGATGGTGCTCAGCCACAATCCCCTAGTGGTGTGTGCTTTTGAACAAATGTGATTTAACTCTGGTTCTCTCTACTTCACTGGTTATATGACTGCTCTGTGCAAATTTGTAAGCTTCTTTCTTACTTTCTTTAGCCCTTTGTGCCTTTCAGACCCTTTTGATCTGTTATTTTGCCCCCCTCCACCCCCCTGAAAAAAATTCTTTTACAAGTCAAGAGTTTAATCCATAGGCTGGTTTGACTTCCTTCTCAGCTAGATCCTAATTCCTTGCTGAGTACCAGCCATTTCTTTTGAAACCACATGTCATTATCATGGTCCTGAGGAAGGCTTTTTGAATGGAGACTTGCTGCATTGAGTCTTTGCTGTCATGGCTCCTCCCACACTTGCAGCCTCTCACCACGTTATGGTCAGCTCTGTAGCAGCCAGTGTTGCCAGGGCACCAATGCACTCAGCATGGTGAGCCATACCTGCATCACCAGTGTCTGGAGCTGGGTGAATAAGGAGATTGATGCTTAGGCGTTGGCTGGTATCTGCGTGTCTAACATTAAACGCCTGGCACACTAGAAGCTGTAGAATCTATTATAGACAAAACTCATATTATTGCACTTTGCTTTATTGCGCTTCACAGCTGTTGCGGGTTGTTGGTTTATGTTTTTTTTTTACAAATAAAAAGCAGGACTCCCCCCTCCTCCCCCCCACCACCACCAGCAAAAATATTACAACTCACTTTATTGTGATACTTGCTTTATTATGGTGGTCTGGAACCAAACCCGCAATATCTCTGAAGTATGCCTGTGTTTATTTCATTTTATTTTATTATTTTTAAAATATTTTTTATTGATTCCAGAGAGAAAGGGAGAGGAAGAGAAAGATAGAAACATCAATGATCAGAGAGAATCATGGATCGGCTGCCTTCTGCATGCCCCCCATTGGGGATCGTGCCCACAACCTGGGCATCTGACCAGACCAGGATTGAACTGTGGCCTCCTGGTTCATAGGTCAATGCTCAACCACCGAGCAACGCTGGTCATGAGGCCTTGCACTGAGAGAGAAATAGACCACCATTTAGGGTAAAGAGTCCTTTCAAAGTCACCATTCCAGTCCTCCCCTTTATGCCCGAGGAAACAAAACAAAAGTCTGTAGAGGTAGTGACTAGCCAAGCTCACAGCCAGTGAATGGGAGGAACTGGCCTCAGACAGTTTTATAAAAGTGTGGGGCAAGGAATCCTGATGGTATTGAAAGGCTTTGATGTTCCTCATATGATTAAACCTATGCTTTTCCTTTCCTGCCTGAGTTAGCCGCTGTGTTAGACCAGCAGCTCTTAGTTTTCTTAAACCCTAGATTTGACCATTGATTTAATGCCACGTGGGGTTTCAGTTGACCCTCTCGAGGTTGCTGATTGAACCCTGTGCTCACTGGGTTCTCTCCCCCTCCCCTCCTTGTGCTCCTGCTTCCAGAGGCTGTGTCATCGGACCCACCTTCCACTTTAATGTCCCTGCTCTGCACTTTGGGGATGTTTCCTTTGGTGAGTATTTTTCGTTTTAATTTAGAAACAGAGAAGAATTACTTTTCTCTACGGGGGAGGATAAAGGTTTGCAAAGAGTCTTTCTTACCATTTTTTTTATGGGTAGAAACTGCGAGGATCTAGAATTGTTCTTCTGCAGAAGTGGCATTTCAGTGCCATTTCCCCGTTTCCATGTGAAAGTTGGAACTGCGTCCCGGGCACTAACAGTTGTCAGGCCACAGCCACCCCCCTCTTCCAGCAGGGAACAGTGGAAGGCCTTCTGCTTCTCTCCACCATCTGAACTTTACGGACATTCTGTTTATGTGCAGATTCTGATCTGCCAGTCTGCCACACAGCTACCTTCTCCCAGAGATGCTCTCAAGTTCAAAGTGAACTCAGTGGTGGGTCGATTCCAAATTGAAGACTCTTCTGGATTTCTGTGTTGTCTTCTCACTCACCCAGTTACTTCTCTAAGTCTTTTTCTCCCACCTAAGCTTCCCCAATAATAAAAATGATAACAGCAAAAATTCCCATTTATTGGTTCTTTCTATATATTCCAATCACTGCTAAGTGCATTACATGCAGTACTAGGTTTAAACCTTTTAGCAACCCTATGGGGAGGTACTGTTTAAGATCCCCATTTTAGAGATGGAAGAACTGAGCATTGAATGTTTAAATAACTTCCTAAAGTCACACAGCAGAAATTAGCATTTCAGTTGAGGTGCATTTAAATCATGTACTGTCACACAAGTGATATTGCACCCAAAGAGGCAGAAATGGGTTCTTGGAGGTTGAAACAAAACTTAAATATAACAATGGTTTGTGGTCCTCCAGAGTTCAACCCTCCCCAACAGAATCTTGTCCCTTGGTATTTAATTCATTGGGGAGAATTTAATATGATTTAAATTCTATTTAATTTCTTCATTAGGGAGAATTTAATATGATTTAAATTCTATTTAATTTCTTCATTAGGGAGAAATTAAATAGGATTTAAATCATATTAATTAAATATAATTTATTTGATTTAAAATTAATTTATCACATTGGTTCTTTTTAGGAGATGCTAATTTTTAACAAGGTTGAAAACCCCTGGTCTAAAGCCATGCTCCACAAACCTTTCCATTTTGTTCTATCATCTCCAACTTTGACTTTCAGTTCTTTTGTGTCTACTTGCGAGAAACAGCTCTTTAGAAAAGGCTGACTAGATGCCTTTATCAATTGCTTTAACATTTGGGGGTCTGACAGTTTTATTTATACAGAATGTATTTATTTATACAGTGCCCCCCCCCCGTCTGCATGATATTGGGTAAGATACATACCATAGGAAAATCTATATACATGAAGTTGACTGTCTGTTTGTTACTATAGAATATGAAAATGGCTGGAGAGATTCTTACGAAATTGTAGGGCGTGTGTGAGTGATAGACTCTTTTGAAGGAAATAAAAATGACCTACAACTTGAAAATCATCTGGTGGCCAAGTAAGAAAGGCATCCTCTCTCAAGGGTGCCTGTGACGGCTGCACAATAAGAAGTGAATTAGTGTCCCAAGACCTACGCCGTCATCCTTCAAACAGCTCAGATGGGGCCACAGGGAGGTCTGGGCAACTGATGCATGACGGCAGCCTATCCTTCCACAGGCATTTCAAGACGGAGTCCAGCCCAAGGGCATTTGGGAGATGTGCCCGACATCAGATGGCCCTCAAGGAGGGAGAACACAGAGTACAAACAAGCACCTCAAATCAGTTAGTTCAGGAAACTTCCCACCGATTCACGGTCCAGGCTGCTCTATCGCTCACCTCTGCAGTGTTGATGTAAATGCTGTCCTAATGATAGGCCAACAGCTGTTTCTCAGACTTGGTCTCGCTACAAGTTTTGATAATGAGCTTAGGTGAAGATTAGAGGCAGCATATTTTTCTTTCCTTGTGTAATATCTTCTTGAACCAGTTGATGAGACAGCCGCTGGATAAGAGGCTGGAACACTCTACAGAGCCATGACCCAAGCTTCCCGAGTCTGAGATTTGAAAATGTATCACTCCTGAGTCTCCTTTCAATATCCAAGTTGCCTTTTCTTTTAGTTTGGATATGGGCTCCTTAGTCTTCTCGTGTGGCAGGGACTGTTAACAAAAACATAATCATTTTTGCTTGCCAACAGGAGAGCTAGGGCTACTTGGTTTTCCAAACCACTTGGGTCAGTTAATTCAAGCTACTTTTCCGTGCTTCTAGATTTTGCACTGTAACAGCCAAAATTAGAGACAATTTTATGATACCCTTTCAAAATTATTTTATGGTATTTTCCAATCCCAAAGTTGGAACTAGAGTCCTCATGACTTCAACACAGTCTTATTATTTTTTCCAGGTAGTTGGACCGCCCGTCACAAAGAAACACGGTCCATTGGGCAGTTATTTACTGGAAGCTTTTCATTATTATCCTGCATGTGCAAGTAGGGCTTTGATGAGGCAGATAAAACTGAGCATGTCATTGGCACGAGAATAAAAGACCAACAAGGATACATATAGTTCCAGATGCAAAAGATAAATTAACTGTTACAGGAGCAAAAATTAACTGTTCCAGGAATTGGAGGAATTTTTTTAGTTATTTCAAGATGGCAGACCTTTCATGTGGAGTTAAGCAAGGTTTGCAGGGACTGTTGTAGGGCTTGGGAGTGCATGAAGCTAATGAAAGTTGGTAATATTGTCCCCATATTGGCACTAAGGCCCATTCCATTCCTGAAAAGGTGTCTGGTATAGGTTATTGTGAGAGATGAAGATGTAGATTTGACTGACATCAGGATCTACTGGGTTAATAATGTTAGGAAATACCATATGTTATGGTTTAGATCAGCCGTGGGCAAACTACGGCCCGCGGGCCAGATCCGGCCCGTTTGAAATGAATAAAACTAAAAAAAAAAAAAGACTGTACCCTTTTATGTAATGATGTTTACTTTGAATTTATATTAGTTCACGCAAACACTCCATCCATGCTTTTGTTCCGGCCCTCCAGTCCAGTTTAAGAACCCATTGTGGCCCTCGAGTCAAAAAGTTTGCCCACCCCTGGTTTAGATACTCTAAAGTAGGTTAGTATTTAACATGTTTGAAGATAGCAATAAATATTTTGATGATAGGATTAGATGTCAGATGACATATCTAATAATTAATTAGGCTGGCTGAAGCTACAATAGCATGAGAGTGTCAGATGATAGAATTGGGTGGCAATTGTCCCTGAAGGAACATTGAGGTTTCAATAAATCCTCAGAATAGTCAGAGAATAAAATGGACCAAGTAACCACTGATGTGCCAGGTGATCAGCCAAAAGAGGAAGGAGGGGGTATCTATAGAGCCACTATTTTTCAGGAGGCACAAGAATGTGTTGAATTGAGAATAAGGAGTGTGGAAGGCTCCAGGCACTCAGTATACTTGACAATTGGACAATTTGGACTGTCAGTATTTTACTCAATTATTTAAATTGACTTTCTGAGGGTGTAGAGTAGGGAGTCAAGGGCAACACTTCCTTGTAATGATCTTAGAAAGGTTGGCAGAAGAGGTCATAATAAACACAAGCAAAGCCCGCACCCAAGCAAGTTATCATTAACAGTAAGAGAGACATAACAAGGAATATCAGAATTACATAACTTGAAGATAGTAAATAGAGAATAATATGGCCAGATGATAAAGAACAAAGTAGGCAAAGCAAAGTGTCAGGCACCTAGCAAAATCTTGTTCCACTAGGCTTGGGCAGAATCTTTCTACTTCATGTAAACACTGCTTGTTTTGAGGAGCTTGGAATGGCCATCTATTTCTGTAGGTCAACCATTTCTAGAAGTTTTATTAGCAAACTACCATTTGAGATCTCCAGTAAAAGTGTTTTCTGCATGGCTTCAGCCAATTCAGTTTCTTTGGGCATCTTTTCACCCAAAGGTCTACCTTATAGGTAACCCCAGGGTCAGTGAAGCCCCTAAAGAAGACTGTTGGTATATTTTTTCAGATACTCATTGAAAGACGAGAGAAGTCCTGAGGGTGAATTTTTAGGGATGGCTTCTAGACCTTATAGATGAGTTGGTTCTTGACAATATTTAGTTATGTCTGCATGAAGCAGGCTTGATTCAGACTGATAAAAGACTTGTAATTTCCTGGATTTTCTAGTTTAATAGTCGATGGGTTCCAGAGGAAATTAACCTGATTGATGGACATTAGAACTAAAAGTAAAACTCTTCCCCAAAGAATTCCAAGAGTCTCAGAGAGCTTGGCCAATTCGAGAGAGGTAATACTGTGTTTATGCTGTACCTTTCCCAAGAATTGTGGATCATGACATTTTAGATCAAATGGTTAGCGCACTGTAAGATTCTTTATAACTCTTCTGTGTGAGGCTGCTGTTCCCCAGGGAGGAAAGTTATAGTGTATAATTTCTTAGTCACATTTATGGCAGCAGCCTTTCTATATAGGGAGGCTCAAATCCATCTAAAGAATTTACAGACAATTACAGGAACATATTCTTAAATATATCATCTTTTATTTGGAAGGTTTACTGGAGTGTGATTTAAACCCATGATTCACTGCACAATTTTTCTGGAATGTGATATCCAGCTACCGAGGAAATTTTTTCCCATCAGCTCTTGTTCAGAGGCGACCTTATCTCTTCTATGATGAGATCTATGCTGTTTGTCAAAGACCAGCTCGGGCTTTGGGGCACATCACAGTTGGTGTGCAGAAGACCATTGAAGTGGACAGAGGATCCTGCCTTTAGGAAATGTTGGTGTTTCTAAGTCTGAGGCTCATTTTTTATGTTCAAAATGGGTTGTGCAGATGTTTATTGATCTCCCGTTTACTGCTTTATTTCTACAGACAACTACAATTGTTTTCCAGAATGATCTGCCAACCCATTTCCCTTCACTTGGTGGGAATTTTTATTTTACTAGAAAAATTAGGAATCTCTTGTCTAAAAGGTCCCATGTGTCCCCCAAAGTCCATGAATTGTAATTGAATTTTTGGTCTTGGGTATTGCTGAACAATTTTACACTCTCCTAAGCTAAGGTCCATTCTTTAGTAGAACACTTATGTTCTAAGTAGTGTAGCATCTTTTGTCAGAATTGAAACTTTTCCTTTGCTGCCTTATAATCTTTCGCTCTTCATTTCTTTAAGTCTTCTTAGAGGCTTCCTAGGTCAGGTGACAATATGCATATTAAATGAAAATCAAATCTCCTGAGAATATTGTCTTTTAAATCAAATTTAAGTACTAGGAGAGGAATGAAGGTGCTGCTGTGAATCTTTAAGGCGTTCTGACCAAGCATGTTGTTAATTATTCCAAGAAATATTGAGTTTCTATATACTTTGATATCTCACCTCATAGATGCCAAAGAAGGGAGAATAGTGGTCTGCACTGTACAGTACTGGCATTCTGATGAGACTTTAGATAGGACAGTGTTAGGATTTGGTGCTACCAGAATCCTAGTCTTCAACAATATCTCTTTCTTTTAGGCTTCTTGACAAGCAATATTACAGGTAATGGTACAAGGAATTGCTCTAGGTAGGAGGTTATAATTGCCTGTATTCTGAGAAAAACTAATAGCTTCAGGAAGTAGTCTGAGCAATGGTTTAGAAGAACCCATCTGAGTCTTTATAGGATCCACTTTCATAATATGAACACCCTGCATTAGACGAGTGTGTATCCCATAAATGGTTGGGTAAAATCAGAGTGTAAGTCAAATGTAGCAATTACATGATTGTGAAACGGACTTTCCAGCAGTTCCTCTGGAATTTTCAAGAATAATCCTTCAGATGCACTTAATCAGACAATTCTTTTTTTCGTTCAAGATTTCTTCCAAGTTGATTGGCAGGGGTCGTATCACAAAGGAGACATGAACATGGTTCCTCTACAGCCCTATTGCGTAGACAAGGCTCAGACATGGGGAGAGAAGTAGATCAGTTCAAATCGTCCTCTGCAATACCACAGCGATGACTCCCAGGCCAGTTGTAGAATATTGCTGCAGGGTTCAAAGCAGAAAGAGTAGTGTTTGCATGCCTATTTGTTCTCCTGTGATCACAGATAATTGTTTCAGTCTGCAGGCCGATGCTCTATCCACTGAGCCAAACTGGTTTCGGCTAATTCTTGTTCTGAAAGTGGTAGCAGATACAATGGGCACCTAGGGGATCCAAAATCAGAGCTCAGTTTGTTGCTTACCAGGCAAGGAGGACCCCATCTCTTTGGAAAGGAACGTGACTCTCACTGAACCGGATGTAGGAGGGCTGGCTATAGCATGAAAAAGCAGCTTTGTCTCAGGGAGGTAAAAGCCAGTGTGTTGGTCTCTGTCTGGCTCAGAAGCAGATCACAAAGTCCCTCTTGGTAGAGGCTGTGATTCAGTTTTGTGTCATTGACCCTGAGGGCATGAGCCTCAGACAGTCCAGGGTAAGCTATCTAACGTCTTGGCAGGCTCGGGATCACACAGCGGGCAAAACCCCACAGGCTTCTCCTTTCACACACAGACAAATAAAAAGAGCAAACATTATCCTATTTGGGGGGGAATCTCTATTTCTATGCAAAAGTTAAATGCAAAATATCTTTCTAGAAGACTGCTCAGCAAACTGATAACAGAGGCCAGCTCTTGGGAGGATGGTGATTTTATGTCGATTGTTGCTGCATAGTAAATGAATAAGTATTCATTGAATGAATGAATGAATGAATGAAATGTATTTATTGATTTACAATTGAAAACAGTATCGGGGAGAGTTAGAATTAAGCAAGTAGTGCTGAATTGCGTAGACAATTTATTTGAGAGGTCTGGCAGCTGAGGGGGTTGAAGTTAAAGGGAGGCTATTGTGGGGCTTTTCTCACCCCATATTTTGTTTTCCAGGGTTTCCTCACACCTTGATATGTTCCCTCAATAACACCTCCTTGGTCCCCATGACCTTCAAACTGCGCATCCCTGGCGATGGCCATGAAAGCATTTCAAGCTGTGAGCAATATACAGACACCAAAGGACCTTCTTGGAACAAGGAGGAAATACCCATAACGAAACCAAAAGAATTTACCATCACCCCCAACTGTGGCACCATTCGCTCCCAAGGATTCGCTGCTATCAGGGTAAAGTGCACACACCCCAGGCAGCTGAGCTCTCAGATGGCCACGGGGACCACACCCAGGGTTTGCTCTGCATGCCCAGAGCCCGTGGGAAGGAGCACCTCAGTTCACATGGAAACGTGGGCCTATCAGGAAACAAACCACTGTGGTGAAAGAAACCGGACGCAAATACATTGGGCAAAAGAACTGCCACCGCTCCGTGGATTTCCATCCACCTCAGCCTGTGGCCTCCACCAGATCAGGGGGTTGTAGGGTTTTCTAGTGAAACCACTGCTCTCCACAGACAGGGCACCCATCAGCACAGATATAACAAGGTTTAAGGACTCAGTGATCATTAGGGCCTCCTTTCCTTTCGACTCAAATCGTTTATACCAATAAATGTCCACATTCATGCCACAGATGACATCCGGTTGATTCAGGTTTTTAGTCTGAACCTGGGCTTCATAGTGAATGTGGATGCCATGTTTCTAACAGGGCTTAATATTTGGCTGTCAGTGCGGCCAGCAGAATTAATTCATGGCTAACTGAGAAATTTTTCCTGTCTTCTCTCACTGACTTTTTCTTTTCCAAACAGTCAGATCTAGCAATATTGAATGCTGCAAAATTGAAATGATTTTATCTTTTCTGGAAAAGAAAAAAAGATAAGACTTTATAGCTAAGGTTAATAATTTCCTCTTTAGTCACTGTCTGTGAATATTTAATTCAGCTATGGTTTTATCCCCCCAAAATTGTTTTAAATGCTTCGTAATATCTCACCATGAATCCACTCATCCTAACTCTTTTCTGTTTTTTTGTTTTGTTTTTGTTTTTGTTCTTTCAAGGGCTTCTCCATGAGTCCAATGAGGTTTGATTTCATATATTGTTATAACCTCTCAGGATTGCTATTGCAGTCTATTTGGGCTGCTCTTATAAAATACCAGAGACCGGGTTGCTTATAAACAACAGATTTATTTCTCATAGGTCTGGAGGCAGGATGTTGAGATCAGGAGCCAGCATGCTTGGGTTCTGGTGAAGGCATTCTTCCAGCTTGCAGGCTGCTGACTTCTTCCATCCTCACATGGTGGAAGGGCTAGGGAGTTCTGTTGGCCCTCTTTTATAAGGGCACTAATCCTGTTCATGAAGGCCCCACCCTCATGACTTAATCACCTCCCAGTGGCCCCACCTCCTAATACTGTCACATTAGGGGCTAGGATTTCAACATAGGAATTTGGGGAGGACACAACTATTCACAAATCATAGTTGCTAACTGTGAATTTCCCAGAGAGAAGTGCTGTTGCAATGAATTTATTTAAATTTTTTATTTCTTAATGCTCAGCCTACCTGTTAGCTACCTTCCCTTTTTTTTGCCTCTCTCACATAATACAGGAAGATTTGAGAAGACGTAGGTCTATCTAGCAGCCTTCTGCCAGAACCACATGTTTTTCTGCCTCCTAACCACAGCTCAGAGACATAAACAAGGGCAGATCACTCCAGGAATCTCTGCACACAGGGGCAGCTGCCTCTCTCCAAATCGGACACGTCTTCTTTCCAAATCAATGACCCCATCTTCACTTTATTTTTCCTTTCTATTTGGAAAAGCTTTCTCCAAGCTTCAATTTTCCCTCATGATCTGTACTCCAACCACGTCTCTGTGGACTCAACTATGCATCCAGTAATTCCCTCTGCAACTAAAAAAAATTTTAATTAGTACCTGATACATAATGTATAGCTAGAAAAGCCTTAACCTGTGCCAGAAGCTGTTTTCTAGACTTACACGCATCCCTTCCAGTACAAATCATTGTGAAGCAATTAAAATCGTAACAAGGCTTCAAAAGCCTAAATGTAATGTTGCACAATAGTAAATAAAACACGGGGTGAAACATACTGGCCAGATATTCTCCTTAGGCAGGCCTTTCGTTGGCACCTCTATTTTCTGCTTTAATAATGAATATGGGGACAGGGAACAAGATTTTGTTAAAAAGAAAAACACCACACACATAACACAAAACTAGCTGATTTTCCATGCCATTTTCTGTTACTGACATGGTTATGTCACGTATTTGCTATAAGAGAAATTTAGCGGGAGTGTTTTATTGGTGTACTAAATTTTCATAATTAATATAGCCCAGCGGTATGGGAAACGACTTAAATGCAACAATTGAAGTTTGCTTGATGTTGCTCATCCTTCATGGTCACTTCCCCCCCTTATGTAGGTACACGGCTTCTTTGATAACCACCTCCTCAGAAATGAGCCAACCTATTGTACTAAAAGCCACTGGGCTTCTAACCTGGCCTTTGAAAAAACTCAGCATGCCCTGACCCCGAAATGCAACTGGTTCAACGAAAAGTGTAAAATGCCCCGCATCCCACCATCAAGTACTCCGAAGCCGCACTCCTCAGTGGGGCTGTCCCCGGGCTCCCCTCTCCCCGCTGCAGGGGGAGAGCTGAGCTTTTAGAAGAGCAGCTTTTCGCCTTTTGCTTTCCAGGTGACCTTATGCTCCAACACTGTGCAGAAATACGAGCTGGCCCTGGTGGTGGACGTGGAGGGCATCGGGGAAGAAGTGCTGGCGCTCCTCATTACAGCGAGGTATCACTCACCTGCTCCCCTCTCCCCGGTCTCCCTGGGCCCCAGGAAGGGCTGCCTCTTCAGAAGGCTGCAGGCCTGCAAATGGCTCACACTGCATTTCTTTGTTCTGCTTTCCCCGAAGGGAGGCTGAATGCCATTCAAATGACAAAGCTTTCAAACAGCAAACGCACCTCCTGTGGAAATAGGAGAAGGGTGTGTGTGTGTGTGTGTGTGTGTGTGTGTGTGCGCGCACGCGCGAAGAATACTGGTGCTCTCTCTTTTTGACTTTCTGACTTTCCAGGTATATAACTAAAAGGATTTTAGCAGAAAGATGGGAACAGTTGCTGTTTTTTATTTTTATCATTAAATACAGTACCCCTGAGGTCTGCAGCAGAAAGAGTGGTGCCCACAGTTCTGCAGTGGACGATCCATTTAGCAAGGCAGTCCTGCCCCGGGCTGCAAGCGGGCGCCCAAATAAGGCCCTCTCTAACTATAAACTCCTCAGAACCATCACCAACTTCTCTATTTGAAAAAAATATTTTTTATTGCTTTCAGAGAGGGAGAGAGAGATAGAAACATCGATGGTAAGAATCATTGATTGACTGCCTCCTGCACAGCCCCTCCTGGGGGTGGAGCCCGCATCCGAGGCATGTGCCCTAATGAGGGTCGGTCGAACCATGGCCTCCTGGTTCATAGGTCAACACTCAACCACTGAACCACACCAGCTGGGCAGTGTCTCTGTTTTTTAATGGAGACAGCAATGAGCTCTGGAGTCAGGTTAAGATCCTGGCTTGCTTTGTTGACTATGTCTCCTTGACCAAGTTACCGTCTTTCTACTGATGGTGACAGTGACCCTAAATACAATCATCGACCACACTGTTGCCAAAGCAAATGGGGAGTCCAGATCTGGGACTCTAGAGTGTACATATGAAAATGCCATCTAAAGGAAACAGAGGAAATTTCTGGCAAAAAAAAAATGCCTAGAATTTAGGTCTGTCATGAATCTTAAGAAAATGCACCTTAAAGAAGGTGCAGACCTAGTGGTTGGTGGAGGCATCATAAGGGGCACCTTTGCATGTGCCTTGAGCTTGGACAAAGCCCAAGAGCAGCCCTAAAAGAACTTGAAGGTCAAGGTCTTGTCCTAATCTATTTACTCAGTATTCCTTCCAAACGCCTAAGTAATTTCTTTGTTTGTTTAAAAAACATGCAGAGTCTTTCATCTGGTCCTGTCTATACCCAAGTTGGGCTTTTTGTCTAGTCTTGCATTTTTCTATGTGGGTTTATTCTGATACTCTCCAGCCTCTTTTCCCTACAGCTATCAATAGGAAATCCGATTTTTTTTTTTTTTTTTACAGAAGGCCGATGTGGCAGTGGTTAAGTGTGGAGCTATAAACCATGAGGTCATGCTTTGATCCCGGTCAGGGCACATGCCCAGGTTGCGGGCTCAATCCCCAGTGGGAGGCATATAAGAGGCAGCCGATCAATGATCCTCCCTCATCACTGATGTTCCTCTCTCTCTCCCCCTCTCCCTTCCTCTCTGAAAGCAATAAAAAAATTTTTTTTTAAAAAAGGTCCTAGGAGGCTATGAGTTTCTATCATGTATACTCTGTGACCCACGTCAAATACTAACTATGACCCCTCTCAGCCACAGCATTTCAGGTAGTAAAGGATTAGCTTTTGAAAGTCATTGGGCCAGCTGACAACTTCCATTTTAGCTAAAAACGAACACTCATCCCATGTGAAATCTCAAGCGTTGGGGTCAACAGGACTCTCTTTCCTGTCATTACAGTACTTCTCTGTAATCTGTAGAAACTGCTCAAACGCTCTCAACAGAGAATTGCTTTTCGAACTTGCTCTCTCAAATGATTTTTCCCCGAGAGCCAGCAGTGATGGCTTGCCGTGCCCCCTCCCACACACCAGTCGCCTCTTACTGAGCCCTTCCATGGCACTGTGCTAGGCCCTGCATTCACATTAGCTCCTGTATTTCCCACGGTTCCCTAAGAAGAGTGTTTGATGCTGCTGTCAACCCCTGGAATGACCTGCATTTTATTTATAAGCAACATGGGGCTCTAGGAGGGAAAACAACTCGCCCAAGGTTGTGCTTGAACCTGGCTCTGTCTGCCCCAAATGCCAGCGCTCCTCACCATGGCGCTATATGGTGACAGTGCAGCCGGGCAGGGCAGATGCTGAGATTCACAGACACAAATAAAACCCAAGCCACCTAATGATAGACCAGCTGCACACACAGGGCTGCAATTCCTCCCTCTCCAGCACACACCCCTCCCTCCCACCAGCCCCCCCATACCCTCTGTTGCCAGGGCACCAGCTCTGGGTCGAGCAGCTGCCTGAGCCTGCTGATCCAAGACAGCTGTTCTGCATAGGAATTAGAATTATTACCATGATTTAGCTGGTGTGAGCTGTTACCAGCCCTCAGGGGGCTCTGGCTGGTCCAAAGTATCACAGCCAGTTAGGACCCCACGCTGGTGGCATCGCCCCTGTTTGTCAGGGAAACAGGTTCACTACCCTAAGGAGCCTGTCCTGTGGGGGTCCCTTGCCAAAGGAAGGCTAAGTATGAAAAACAATAGGAATGTTAGTCATTACCCACAGACGACAGCTGTTTAAGGAGTCCTGCTTCCAGCCCTTTTTTGATTAAAAATGATGACTGGGGGCTAAGGGAGAGAGGGAAGGCAAGGAGAGAAGATGTGAAAAATGATTAATGTAGTTATTAGAGAAAAATACTATGTGACAGTAACAAATGTGTTTAACTTGGGACTCTTCGTTCCCCATATGTAAACAAGCGTTCCGTCCTTTTAAATTCTTTAATGGGCTCTTTCCTTTGAGCAGGTGTATTGTACCTGCCCTCCGCATGGCTAATGCAGAGGTGGACTTCGGGCGCTGCTTCCTGAAATACCCGTACGAGAAAACCATCCAGCTTGTCAACCCGGATGACCTCCCAGGATGCTATGAGGTCCTGCCCCAGGTGAGTTACTGGATCCTTTTTCAGTGTTGATTTTTTCTGCAGTTGGATTCCTCAATAAGAAAGAGATATCCTTCTCAGGAGCCATATGCCTAAACACGTGGCCTTGTGTCATTCTGACTTTAAACCCTGGGATAATCTGGGGATGGGGTCATAAAGCCACAGCTGGCTTGCCACCTGCATGGGTGAGCAGCTGCAGGTGTAAGCAGTTGCTAATTTCCCAGGAAAATTGCCTTTGACAAAGAAAGCGTCAATTAAGCCAACACGCAGAAGTTGCACCTGCAGATAATTGCCTGGGAATGAACCATGCATGGGGAATGAGGCAGAGCTGGGGGTTTTCATTTATGTCCATGGCCGTGACGTGAACCGCTTCACTAAGATAAGGTCATGCAATATTTATATGCTAGACTAGAAGGCTAGAGATATACAGGAGTGAGACAGGAGAAAGTGCCTCTTAATATTTTATGAAATAGATTGTCCACACGCCACTACCCCTGGCCAGGTGGGAGACTAAGCAGTCAAATGGGCATGGACTAGAGACTTTAAAAGATCTGTGCAACCCAGAGGAATGGAAGGTTCCTACTGGGATGCAGCTTACCTAGAGTGCATTTGGGTTTAAACTCAGTTCTGTAAGGACAGTACTCTGATAAAAACTCATGCAAACAAAATTGAATGGGGTTTTTTATTTGGCTACAAGTTCAAAATGAGTTAAAAGACCAATGTGGGGACCACAGAACCAAGGCAGGCTTAGGCCCATCAGAGAAACGTGTTTAGCCAGAGAAAGGAGGTGGCCGCCATCAACACAGAAATTTGTCTTCAGGTCTTGACATTGTATTTTTGTAATAGAAACCTGGGTGGAAAAAATGAATCGTGGTCCAAGTAACCAGAGTGGCAATCTATGTGATCTGAAAATCCAAGTCATATGAGGGGCAAACGTAGTATTTAATCTGGAACAGACAAGACTTAACCCTGCCAAAATAGCTACCCTTCATTAGCCAAGGGGCTGGTATGTAAAAGAGGGGATTGCAGTTATTCGGGGGGCTTCTCTGAGACAAAACCAGAGCCAAGTGGTGGGGGGAATAGGGGACAACTTCTCCAACTTTCAGATGCTTAACAGCACAGCAGGCCAGCCCTGCGCAGTGCAGGCCACCTCAAGATCTCTGAGCAGAGCCTGCATCTGGGGTGATGGGGAAGGTATTTCTGCACAACTGGGCTGGGGAAAGGGTGAGGTGCTTGCCTCAAGCACAACATTTAAGGTGGAGCAAAAAAATTCAAATTAATCAAGATTAATATTTTCATGCCACATTTTATGAAATCAATATTAATGAAAAGTCCATGGTGAACGAAATATAAGAACTTTATATAAAGACAGAATCAATATTACTGATTTTCCTGTTGCCTCAAGCTCCAACGAGGCCGGACAGGGCGCAGCTGCAGAGGGACCTGCAGGTAGATGAGGCCGTGTTAACCCAGTCCAGGCAGGGAAAGACGGCGGGGTGCTCCGGACAGGTGACACCTGCATGCTCTGCCGTCCTCTCCAGGAGCCGAGCTTCTGAGGAGTGCTTCCCAAAATTCCCTAAACATATTTGGCCATGGGGTTTTTAAGATTTTGTTAGTGTTTGTTGTCATTGTACAAGAGCTAGTGATAGGCTGGGCAGCATTCATTGGTAGACACTGGTCAACATTCATTCATTTGCCCACCTATTTCCCCATTTAAAAAACATGTACTGAGCATATGTTTTGGGCCAGAAAGTGGACATTGAGAAGAGGCTCAGGTTGTGCCCTAAGAAGAGTCCAGCCCATGGGTGACGATGGACACATCGATAGTGTGGGCTGTGAAAAAGGACTGCAGGATGCTCAACTCCAGGGCACTGGGGATCCCTGGGGGAGTCAGGGTGAGGGTGCAGGCAGGTCGAAGGGAGCGGGCATTCCAGGAAGAGGAAACACGTGCAAAGGGCTGGAGGTAGGGGCAGCACCATGTGTTCGGGAAGTACCAGTGGCCTCTCTTGGGGGAACACAAAGGGACGAGGTGGAGGGAGTGTGGAGGGCCAGGTAGGGAAGGTGGCCATGGGCAGCTGCTGCCCTGAGCTGATTCATGTTGTGGATAATCTCTATATCCTTTGTGCACTTTGAATTGAGGGCCTTATGCACACTCAACTCAACCAAACTCCCTTTTGGCAGAATTGGGGTGCTCATCTCTGCGTACTTGCTTAAGCAATGAGACATTTCTGAAGAACCTCCATGGACACAGGACAACACTTGTTGCAAAATAATCTAATCTGCTATTGATTGTATACCCTGCCGGGGGCTTGCTGATCTCTCTGGCTTGTCTCTCCCACCAGATAGATGAGGACTCGCCCGCGGTGTTGCTCTCTAGTCCCAACCCCTATGGAATCATCCCTCCCCAAAGCACCGTCCACATCCCCCTGATCTTGGAGACCCAGGTCACCGGGGAGCACAGGTCCACGATTTACATCTCGGTCTTCGGGAGCCAGGACCACCCTGTGGTGAGAGCCAGTCTTCAGATTGCAGTCACATTGCTGTCCTTCTTACCAAACCGCACGCCTCCGCTTTTAAGGCACAAGCCATAGCTGCATGTCTTCCCGTTGTTTGTCGTTCTAGAATTCTACACTTTCACTGCCTGGTAAAAAAAAAAAAAAAAAAAAAAAAACGAGCAGTACGGTACTTGGGGAATCTATTTGCGGATATCTCCAAAAGAGTGGTGTTTGTAGCACTTGTTCTGAAACCCCTTTAAGGGGGTTTTCACACAGAGACATGCCTGACCCTCTCCAGACCTATCAGGTCTGAATCTCTGCCAGGAGAGCACGCCTGTATGTATATGTATGTGTGTGTGTGAGTGTTTGTGTGTGTGTGTGTGTGTGTGTGTGTGTGTGTGTGTACATATATATATATATATTTAAAATGAGTGATTCTCTTTTTTAAAAAAAATATTTTTTTTGTTGAAAATGCAGCTCGTGTGAGGGCCACTTGCTGAGCAGCCAGCACTTTATGAAAGAAAAAGGCCCCTTGTCTGGCTGTGGAGCAAGGTGGATCCAGCCCCCAGCCTGCACAGCTGTGTGTGGCGGACACCCCTGTGTGCCATTAGACAAGCCGAAGAATGCTGCTCAATCCAGCCACTTCTGATTCTTTTTTTTTTTTAATATATTTTTATATATTTCAGAGAGGAAGGGAGAAGAAGAGAGAGATAGAAACACCAATGATGAGAGAGAATCATTGATCGGCTGCCTCCTGCATGCCCTACACTGGGGGTCAAGCCCTCAACCTGGGCTCGTGCCCTGACCCGGAATCGAACCGTGACCTCCTGGTTCATAGGTTTATGCTCAACCACTGAGCCACGCCGGCCAGGCCACTTCCTATTCTTAAGTGCCAGTCCTCAGCCCCGTGCCGAGTGTCCTTGAGGCTGGAGTAGTGGGTGGCAGGTAGAGGACCGTTATCTGGTTTCCCCTCGGTGCACAGCTCCGGGCTGACCCAGGCAAGCAGACCACCCTGGAGGGAGTTCAGACTGGATTCAAAGGTCTGACCAGCAGGCCGTCCCTGTGTCCCTCTGACCGCAGGGTACCGGGGGAGGGAGGTCGGTCCTCCTGAGCCCCCTTTGTGCCCCTGCTTCTTGCTGAAGAGGTGGCTAGAAACTTCTGTTTCAATCGAATTGAAAGGCCAGCCACTTTCAGCTGTTCCCGTATTCCTTCTGTGTCTGGGAGCGCAGGTGTGCCAGCTGAGGAGCATCGGAGAAGGCCCGGTGATCTGCGTCTGTCCCCACCAGGTGGATTTTGGCAAGATCTACGTCCTGACGGAGTCCTCCAGGGTCATCAACCTCTCTAACCAGTCCCTCATCCCTGGATTATTTCAGGCACACATGGTGAGTAGGCTGTGGGACCCATGTGATTGAAATACAGCTCTGCCTTTGCAACAAGCCTTTGAAAATGACCACCAGACGCAGACAGTTACCTGGTTCAACTGCATGCAACTGTGTCATTCTCATCCTCAGTTCCTTTTCATGGTAGTCATTCTCTTGACTAAGAAAAACAATATGCATGTAATTTGGTAAACAAGCAAGTACATTTACTGCCCCAGAGATTCCCTTACCTGAGCTTCACCTAAGCCCAGCCCCACATCTCAAGAAAACGCCTTTTACGTATCTCTGTCACTGAAAATGCTTCCTTATGTGTAATTTGAACCCTTTTGGCTACACATTTGTTGTTATGCTTACTTTTATTCTCTCTTCCTTCTAGCAATAGTTTAACATAGTGTATAAGGATGTATGAAATACAATAAATAGTATTTGCCAAAGGTAGAAATTAAAGAGTGAGGCAAAGATAGATATAAAATAAGTCTGTCTTATTTCTGTGTATTTTGTAGTGACAGTTAGATTTGCAGGTCTTCTACAAACTAATTTTTGAACAGGGATAATACATTCTTTTTGCAGAATTTAGGAATTTCTAATCCAGTAATTGAAGTATTCTTGGTTTTGGAAAACATTTTCTAAATTTAAGTATAACATTTAAAATAGTATAGCCCTTCTCCTATTCATAAATTATTGACATTTGAATGAGTGCTAACATTTGATTTTAGTATTTGTCGGATATTTTTTAATTTTATAAAAGTCCCTGTCAGAATGAATAGGATCGTAGTTTTCTGCTGACTCATGACAGCTCATCAGAGTCATTGGTCCCAATTAGCAGTCATTCACCCTGATCGTTGTTCCATATTATCACCTTTTGTCATTGCTCCTTGTAGAGACAGCCATTTCCCAGTCACTGCTCTTTTTAACATGAGGCTCAGACACAACCCCACTCTCGTTCCAGTGCCTTTGGACCTTGTGTAGAGAATAATTAAAGAAAATTCCTACAGAAAAGATGCCTTTGCTAGTATTTATCCAATTAATTGAGGTGTTTGGTAGAAAGCATGGGAGTTGATGGGTTTGGTGAATTGCTTAGGAAGTGTTGCTTCCAATTCAGTTTCTTAAAAAAATATTTTTTTATTGTTGACAGTATTACAGATATTGCTGACAGGTATCCCCCTAATTCCCCCACTTTGCCCCTCTCCACCCAGTCCCTGCCCCATCCCAGACCATCCCACACTATTGTCTGTGTCCATGGGCTATGCATATATGTATATAAGTTCTTTGGTTAATCTCTTCCCATCTCCTCACCCCTCCCCTCTGAGCTTCTTCAGTCTGTTCCATGCATCCGTGCCTCTGGATCTATTTTGTTCATTAGATTCCACATGTAAGTGAGACCATGTGATATTAGTCTTTCTCTGACTGGCTTATTTCACTCAGCATAAAATTAGGTCCAACCATTCTGTCACAGAGGGTAAGAGATCCTTCTTTTTTTTACAGCTCCGTCATATTCCATCGTGTGAACATACCAAGGCCATTTTATCCCCTCATTTACTGATGGGCACTTGGGCTGTTTCCAGATCTTAGGAATTGTAAATAGCACTGCTATGAACATAGGGGTGCATACATTCTTTCTGATTGGCGTTTCAGGCTTCTTAGTATATATTCCTAAAAGTGGGATTGCTGGGTCAAACAGTAGTTCCATTTTAAATTTTTTTAGTAAATTCCATACCGTTTTCCATAGTGGCTGCACCAATCTGCGTTCCCACCTGCAGTGTATTAGCATTCCCGCTTCCCCACATCCTCACCAGCCCTTGTTGTTTGTTGATTTATTGATGGCAGCCATTCTGGCAGGTGTGAGGTGAGTCCAGCTGTATGTGTAGTGTTCACAGTGGTGGAGCAAAGGAGTATTTTTGGTACATTTCAAGAACAGAGAGCAGGTCAAGGATCTATTGTTGTTTTTGCTAATCTATTGAATGACCCAACTAGGTGTTAAAGTGGGACTGTCCCTTTCCACAAAGGTTTCATGATGCCATCTTTTGATTCTTTCACATCATCGTAAGTCAGCAAGCTCCAGTTCCGAGGAGCCAAATGTGAGCTCTAAGTCAGCGGCCGCCACCCTTCCGGACCTCACGGACCACCGGTTGGCAACCGCTGCTCTAAGTGACTGCTGTAGAATGTGTTTTCCCCTCAGTCCTGTCTCAGAAAGCCGGTGTTGAGTTGACCGCCCTTATAGCATCAAAGTTATTTCAACTGTAAGTCTCATAGGTGAAAATGAAACTCTTCATATTTCCACTGGGATTTTTGCTGGATTTCCTAGTAAATACTATATGTGTTAATGTTACAGAAATCACATTACACTAACTTAGAAATTATCTACAGTGGGAAGAAATAGAAATACCTTTTATTAAATTTCAACTTAATATACAATACTGAAACTCCAGATTCATTCTTACAGGAATTACTAAGCATTAGGAAATAGCTTTTGTTTTGTTTTTTAATCCTCACCCAAGGATACTTTTCCCCATTGATTTTTAGAGAGAGTAGAAGCGGGGGAAAGACAGAGAGAGAAAAACATCGCTGTTACAGAGACATATCAGTTGGGGCCGAAGATCAAGCTTGCAACCGAAGTATGTGCCCTTGACTGAATCAAACCCGGGACCTTTCAGTTCACAGGCCAACATTCTAACCACTGAACCAAACCAGCCAGAGCAAGAAATAGTTTTAATTAATAGTTGTCTTTTCCCTAGCCAAGCCTGCGGCTCCGAACCCAGGCAAATTGTGCTCAGGTATTTCTTGCACTTAATTTCTAGCTCAGTGAGAAGGAAGTAGGGTCAAGGACGCACTGTTCACCTCTCCTATTTCTATGAATTCAGGTCTAGAAGTTTTTTTCTTTCCCTGTGGCTGCCCTGACGGGAGGGGTCATCCTCTCTCCTCTCTTGGCTGCCAGTGAAAGTCAGCCCTCCCCCCGCCAGCTGTGGGCCCCACTGTCGGCCATCTGTCCTGCTCAGCCTTGCACATCAGGACAGACACTGTGATTCGATCCTCCCTCAGGAAGAAACATCTGTTTGTTTTCAGTTGGAGGGGCCTGGAGACGGGAAGCTGGATGCCCGCCTTCCCTGTGATGTTGGGAAGATAAATGACCCAGAGAGCGATTTTGAATTTCTCAGAAATAAATGCTATACAAAAAAAAAATTGATTTTTTTTAAAACACTGAATTCCTTGGTATAATATGTGTGAAGATTGTATTTTTTTTTTTTGTCTGTTCCATTAAAGCTTAACTTATCCTGAGAGTTAAAAAAAAAAAAAAAATTGATTAGTAAAAGAAGAATGTGTTGTGGCCGGGAGCAGTAATTTCTCCTTTGCTGTGGAATGCCTGAAATACCAACCTCCCCCGAAGGCCTCCCAATGCAGACTTAGAACAATAGAGTGGGTCACCTTGGGCCTGGAGGGTAAAAAACGCCAGACTGTGAGCGCAGAGCACAAAGGCCCTCTTGGCAAGAACTCGCGGGCTTTGCTTGCACGCACAGTGCTCCTCCAGGAAGACGGATGTCCTTTCTCCTGGTGACACCAGAAACGAGGGCGAGAAGATGGTGGCTCCCCAGGGCCCGGCCCTCAGCGCTGGGCTGGACACAGACGCCTTGTTTGCATGGGTGCCCCTCGCCAGGTGGAGCAAGCGCCTTCATTCATTGCTCAGCACCTGGTTGAAAGCATCTGGAGCCCTTTCCCTTTTCCTCTGAGCTCTAATGCAGCCTTGGGTACCGTTAACTTAAGAACGTGTACGCAGATGTCAGCGACACCTTGGGATCCAGCGGGCGCTGGAACATCTCCACAGCGACCTTCTGCCTCTGTGGTCTGCGGGAGAGGCCGTGCAGTTAGATTGGAGTTTTCAGGATCCAGGAGACAGGAATTCTGTGCCTCATTCAGGCGTGGCACTTTTTAGGCATCTGTATTCTTGGTCACTTGCCAGAGCCACATGCAGTGGTGTGGCATCAAGTGAATCGTTGGGCCTTTACATCTCCTGCAGACCCTCAGCCACCTGGTCATTTCTTCATTTAAATGGGGACCCCCTTTCTATATTTACTTGTTTATCTGCCTGTCTCCTTCAGATGGCAAGGGTCTATGCTTTGAGTTCCCTACACCTAGCAGCAGGATTGGCAGTTATAAAGATGACAGTATAATGACATTAATTATGACTAATGTTTATGTCGTTCTGTTTGCAACTTTAGATGCTGCATTTCATTTACTATGACTCTGAGAGAAATAATATTATAATGCCCATTTTAACCAGGTAGAGACAGAGGCGCAGACAGGTTAAGTAAAGTGCCTTAACCTGAAGTGGCAGAGCCTGGTCCTGACTCCTGGGGGTCTGATTCCAGACCCCTGCTCTCTTCCCTGGGGCTGCTGTGCTGCCTAACTTTGCCTAATCAGTGATTATACTAGAAAAAATGAACTTAGAAAGGGTGAAAGGATTTTGGTTTGGGGTTCATAAAAGACCCTTAAAGAAAGACACCTAGCCCGGCCAGGGAGGCTCAGTGGTTGAGCGTCCACATATGAACCAGGAGGTCACTGTTCAATTCCCGGTCAGGGCACATGCCCAGGTTGTGGGTCCCATCCCCAGTGGGGGTTGTTCAGGAAGCAGCTGACCAATGAGTCTCTCTCATCATTGATGTTTCTATCTCTCTCTTCCTCTCTCAGAAATCAATAAAAATATGTATTTTTAAAAGATAGACACCTAGAAGAGCAGGTTTTGCTAAAAGAACAAGAGAAGAAATTGAGCATTTCTGAAATAGACAAAAGGACCAGACATTCTTCATTTTATTTAGGAAATATGTTGAAATGTATATATGCAAATAATCTCCAGAATGTCATTTTTCAACCAACTGTAATTCTTTCAATTATGTATTTGAAATAATGGCACAATCTCCTTCCCACTTTTTTTGATCCTTTGTAATATAGTATGACAAAACAGTCAGTTCACATATGTAAGTGAGTATAAAAATTTTTCACTACTATAG